TAAACCTATCTCACCTCATCGAATACCAAACTGATGAACCTCAAAGACAGTAAGAGAGTAAGGATGACTTCTGCCACAGGCAAACCTAGATGCTTCAGAGGATGGATGAACCACTGCAGGGCAAATGCAAGCTGCTCGGGAGTCGTACTCGTGAGGCAGAGGCTTGCACTTTGGAAGATCTTTTGTAAGAACAGAGGCCAAGATCTCAGAAAAACAGAGCTATTCAAGCTAACAAAGTTCATTAAAGTATCTTTAAGGACCTGAAGAATGCCTTGGCAATAAAGAAGATTTTCCACAACTAGGATAGAACATTTAAGTCACTTATTTACTATTGTCTACAGGGTCTAAACCACCCAAAGGTTTTATTTACCCTAAACAAATTGTCCCAACATTTGCTTTGTCTGTGAATCACGGTTATCTGTGATTACTTATCAGAGTAGAAAACAAGAAATCACTTCAATATTTAAAAGTAAAAGTGGCTTGATTAGATATTTCTTGGTCCTATGGAAGAGTAACATGATTATATTCTAACTGAAAGTTAAACATTAGATCCCACATTTACTTGCCATATTTTGTGTGAACTTGTATTTTAACGTCTGTGCTTGTCTAATGCATATCCCAATTCTAGAGTCCTAAAAAATGTGCCAAACTTTCATGTGACAGACCTCAGAAAAGCATACCATCTGTGGCCTAAGACTTCTGGATAGACAGGAAGGGTGGTACAAATTTTCATCTTTTTTTTTTCCCTAGCAAGGGAGGGGTGGGATTTAAGAAGCGGGGAGGGGGCAGGGGGCTTGAGTTCAACCTTAGCCACTAGATCAAGGCCACCTCAGCGGTAGAAAATTTCATCATGCACCGAATAATCATTTTAAAGTGTTCATTTTTTTTCACAAAATTTGGCAATTTGCTCAAGCAGAAAAGACTCACAACAGCATGCACATAAGAAGATGTAAGCATTCGTCCATAAGTCCATAACAGGCACATTAAGCATACGCACATCAGATAGCTGAAAAAAACACTCACAACAAAGGTCAAACATGCTGATGTACTAGCTGTTGATAAGCCCTTCCTTGTCAATTGTAAGGGTCCAAACTTCATAACAACGTATGAATAGCCATCCAAAGATGTCGGAAGATTCGGCAACCCCAAAACTGAGGGTGGTGGAGTTCTTGAAAAGACAAGGGATGGTGCACTATCTGTACCCAGTCCTAGCATTATAAATAAGATCCCAGAGAGCAGGGTCACCCGTCCCAACTGGTCCTGTAACAATATGAATAAGGCACTGTCCTGCATCAGCACTCCCATATTTTCCACAGGAGAACAGAGTACACATACACTATCTGAATCAGAAGAAAAACATGGAAGTACAAAGAAGGTTTTCCTAAATGCCATGCCCAGAAAGACGTGAAGAAATATCTAAACAATCCTTTTCTACTTGTTTGGCAAAGAAAACAACCAATTGTTCTATTGGAGACATAAACTTTCCTTATATCGGTAAATCAAATGGAGAACAAGACCGCAATCTTTGACAAATTCAAAAAACAAACTTACCATCCAAACCTGCTTAGGCTGCATCAACATCGATAACGAAGCCAGGAAAATCACTAAGCCAAAGCGCACAGAGATGTGTGACCTTGCTGGTAAAACAACAAGTACAAGGAGCCATACCTGCATATAAAGAAACTAGGAAATCATCATAAATGAAATAAAGGAACGAGAAAAAGAAGTAATATGATAGTCCCGAACAAAAAATTGCTCCATGGCAGGAAGTTTAAGGCAATGCCCAGAAGGAAGTCAGGATGAACTCCTTAGGCAAGCCTTTACTTAAATTCCCTGTTCCTTTTTATCATCAAAGATTACTATAGAAACTATTCCCAGTATTATCAAAGATTACTATAGAAACTATTCCCAGTATTATCAAAGATTACTAGAATTGAGTTCTATCATCCCCACTTCTCTCTATCCCTTTTTCTTGGTCTATTATTTTTATTTTTATTTTCATTTTCCCCTTCAAATACTAATTTGAGTGTCTGGTATTGTGGGGAATAAGTTAATTATCCTTCTCTGCAGGAAACTAATTGTCTCTGCCGGAAACCAGTTCTAAAGTCCTTAAATATCTTATTTAAGCCAAGTAAAAGCAATCCCAAACAAAAAGCACATGCTGGGGAAAAAAATGGCTAAGTTTCCAGTTATGCTCCCAGTAAGCTTCCATTAATCAAACTTCAGAGATTCAATTACCCTTTTACGCAAACTCACAAGTTCAGAAAAACCCGAGTGAGAAAAAAGAAAAACAAAAGGAAGAAGAAGCCAAACTGAAAATCAACAAATTGAATTACTTTTAACCGCTGTTTAGGAAAAAAAACTGAGCAAAAAAATGGAAGGAAAATTTGTACCAATTTAATTCTGGGATCAACAGTGTGCAAGAAAGTTGTTGGTGAAGATATATACTGGGCAATGGGACTAGAAGTAGCCTCAGAAATCCATCTGAATATTTTATCAGCAGCAAGAAAGTCTCTTGGAACCCATTTTTCCCAGTTTCTGGAGCCCCCAACTCCTTCACTGTTTGCTGCACATCTGATAAGGGGCTTTCTTACCTTTTGGCAGTGATGGTGCAAGAAATAAAGTTGGGTTCTTGAGTTTGGAGTGAATTGGTGTTTGAAGATTGGTGTAGTTAAGGGCCTAACAAGGAGAAGGGGAGAAGGACAAGGAAGTTTCGATGAGGGATGAGTGTGGAGAACTTGGGCGTACATGGGTCCAGTCTACAGATTACTGATACAATCGGGCAGGTTGAGTTGGGAAGGGGTTCGCGAAGGGGAAGAGGGAGGAAAACAGTTTTAAATCTTTTGCTCTTTTTTCGTCTTATTTGTTTTCTTTTTCTTTACAATTTGTTTCCTTGCTCTGTTTTTCCTGGGATTACCTTGAGGTTATTGTTGCCAATGAGTAGTAGTGTATCAGCTATGAATACCTCTGAAATTCAGCAACCCTTTGAAATCTAGTGTACTATTTGGAGACATCGTCTGTTTTTGTGAAAGAGGAGAGTAACCAATCCAGAATTGATTTGGCATGTTAAGTTGGGATTTTTTAGATTAGTTTCTTCCCTTTTCTAAAAAATTTAAGGAGCTCTTCAACCGGATTGGAAAATTTATTATGGTGTATTCTGAAGACAACATGTTCATTTTCCTTTCAATTGCAAATTTTTCATGGATCATGGGTCATCATGGGCATGCTTAGAATTGGGATTGTAACTCTTTTGAGGAAAGGCAAATCATGAAATGCTTATCAGCATACATATTGTTTCTAGGAATGCACAATTCAGATGAACTTCAGACCAGTTATTTCGGCCCAATATTAACATGTACTTCATTACACCTGTTTTTCACAAAATCAGGCACGCCAAATCAACAGAAAGAGAATTATGGATAAACAAGACAAATTTGTAAATCCTTCACTTGATTTATGTAATTCTGATTCGAATTGAGAAGATCAGACACGTCCTCTGATAATCCTCTCACGTGCAACAAGGTCTTCAACCCCAGCATGGATTGCCCCGGTGCAGAACAATTGTGTCCCACTCAGAATTATCAATATGACCTCCAAGGTCCTCTGAAGTAGACACAGAAAAGCATATATTGATAGATACATTTACGCTCCATTCATATTTTAGTTCAATTTGCAACAAAAATTTTTGATGGCTTACCAAATTTGAATCTGTCCAGCCTTTGTGAATCTCCTTGCAAGCCAACCTGCAGAAGACATTTGGCATTCACGAGGTATCAAGTCCCAATCTTAGAAGAAACTGAAAGAATGTAGTTGAAAGTGCTGAAGGTTTGATGATTCTTTTACCCCATGGCAAGCAGCGTGAGTAACCAAGTCATCAGAGAGGAGGCAGCAGCTGCATGTAAGTTAGGAAGGTTCCATTGGATCACACTCTGGATCCCAGCAATTGAGGTGATAAATCCCACAACACCAGCAATGAGGGAGAAAATGATCAGGAAACCAGTTGCCATGTTCCCAAATGGAAAGTATATTGGAAATATCCGAGCTGGGATTGTCAGAGCAGATGCTGCAAAGCGGAAAAAGTGATCACTCTAGCATAAGTTGAAATCTTGCTTAGCAGATGCAGTTGATAATGTGGTAACTACCTGTTTCACGAGCTCTTTGAATTCCATGATTTACTGCCCATCCTGAAATTGCTGCAACAATGAAATAAAGTATGACATTAAGAACTAAAAGGCCAAATGCTGCTGATTTGCCCGCCCCAGAAGCCATGGCCTTTAAAGCTTCAATCAAGAAAACCGAAATTTTGTTTTCTATTACACCCTTCTTGTGTTAAAAAAGAGCAACATACGTATATATATGCCACAATGGTTCTATACTTGGCCCAAATCAATGATCTAGTCAGAGCATCATCTGGCCTTTTCTCTTCAATGAATATTTTGAAGTATCTTGAATTCAAAGAAATTGTTGGAATTTCTTGGCATCATTCCCACTTTACCTCATAGAGGAGAGAAGAATCTTTTTTGCTTTCCAGGTTGTAAAAGTAGTTCCTAAATATTCCAGAGGAAAAGCTTAATTTCATATGTGATTCAAACATTCCAGGTAGCACTATTCTATACTCCTAATCTAAATACCGGCTCCACCAACTATTGATGCAATTCAGCTTTGCACATTTTAATTTGAGTTAAAGTAGTATTACCTAATAGCTTGTGGGCTACTCATCCCTCAAATTATTTCTAGTTGATTAGGAAGCTGAGATGCCTGCACAGTTCCTCTAACCGGTAAAATGAGTTCAACAAAACCAGAGCATAATTTTTCTTTCCTCTGGACATTAACTTACTGAACTCAAAACAGATGAGGTCGTTTTCTGCTGCCAAAAGATAACAGTTAAATTAGCAAATTCCATCTCCTTGGTGAAAGCAAATAGCTGATGTTTGTCTTTGCAACTCCTTGCAGTTGAGGCTATAATAAATGTAGAAGTGAGAATTGGATACATGAAAAACTAAAACAGAAAAACCAAAGCACCATCTCATTAGAAAAAAAAAAAAAGCACAATCGAATGTCAATCTACAAAACAGATTCATGAACCCTCTGATCCCAAACAAATTGGAATCTCAAAGGAACCAATTAATTAAGAACGGCTGACAGCCAATTTAGGTTCCTCATTTACATGGCATCTCCCCAAAGTGGTTACAGATAAAGAGAACGAGCTGCAGTCCTACGAGCTCGTGCATTTCAGAATAAGTTCACGTCTTTGTACTGCAGCTTCAGTTGTTTAAACCTTTAATGCAATCTTCTGTGCAGCAAGAGCTTCTGCCTCAAGTGTGGGCTCCCAAAGAATAGTAGTTTCGGCAAGTAATGAAGTAACAACGTACGGATCCATGTTAGAAGCGGGGCGCCTGTCTTCCAAATAACCTACAATAGAAGGTGAGGGACGTTTGAAGCCCATCAGTGTAAGCAACATAGTGCTAAAACCGCCACTCCATCCCCGTTGTTGTCATTCAAAAATGGGCGTTTCAGAAGAATCCTAAACTGCTTAAGCAAATTTTTTGTTAGCAGTTCATAATCTTAGGTACATAATGAGCTCCCACTTATGTTGCCTCTGAGGATAGGAGGAAGAATATTAACCAGGTTCACATATTAGAATTATCTCAATGACAATGATAGGAGAATAAAATTTATCAGATAAACCTTCACTGTTATGCTCTTTGTGCTCTTATTGGTGAAATACCTTTGCCATTCTTCTCAGTTTCACGCCCAACACGGATTGAGCAACCACGATTAGCAACTCCCTGCATTTTGTCATCAAGTAAACTAAGTAAGGGTATGGTCAAGTGATACATTGCTTTGTGGCATCCTTTTTATGTGGAGTGCCTTGTCTTAAATAGAAGAGCATACCCAAGAAAATGTGTTGATATCAGCAGTTTCGTGCTTTCCTGTCAACCTTCTTTCATTTCCTTCTCCATAAGCACTTATGTGATCCTTGTGTCGAAGAGATAGACTCAGGATTGCTTTCTTTATTTTCTCGTACCCTCCATCCTCCCTCATACTCTTTGTACTGTAAACCCAAAAAGAGAATAAAATAAATAATGGGTAATTGAAGTCCATATACTTTGAATCTCTGCATTCTTCTTGTATTCATTTCCTCATCTCCTAACATGCACTAACTTTACATGATTATCCTGAAGTACCTGTAATTGGTGTGGCATCCTGCACCATTCCAGTCACCCTGAGTATTGATGACAAAGGACACAATTTTTCTGGTTGATTAACAAATTGGAAAGGAAAAAGAATTGCAAGATATATAGGATTTCCTATACCTCTATTGGTTTTGGATCAAGTGTAAGAACAACTCCTGCTTGTTCAGTAATTCTCTGTTAGTCAAGTAACAAGAAAAAAAAATCTCACATAAGTATGTATGTAAAATAAGTGATCAAGTAATATGACGTGAAAGAATGAAACGTTGCTAACTAGATCAACCAGTTACATCATACCCTGTAAAATGTGCTGTTATATGCTTTTAAGTTGACTTGAGAGAATAAATTGCCTTATTCTGGATACTATCCTATACACAGAAAGCTAGGTAGCTCCTCTTTGAAAAAGCTTTTGATGCAAGGATGCAAACTGTCTAACTGGAAAAGAATATTTACCTCAAGAAGGTACCTAGCACACCAGATGTGATCTCCAGCTTCAATTCCCACGCTAGGACCTACTTGAAATTCCCACTGCCAAGTTAATCTTAAATCAGTCATTTGACCAGGCAAGGAGTTGCCGAACAGGAGAATATTCATAATTGAATGTAAACAAGAAGTGTTTTAACATACATTCTTGCTCATATATAAGATATCAAAAGTTGAAAAAAGAATGGAGGGAGGAGAACCTGCCCAGGCATAACTTCACCATTCGTTCCACTAATATTTATTCCAGCGTATAAGCAGGCCTTGTAATGAGCATCAGATATGTCCCGTCCAAATATCTTATCTGCTCCAGCACCACAGTAATAAGGGCCCTAAAAATGCCAAAAAAGTTTAAACATACAGATACAGAACAATAATATCGTCTAAAGTAATAGTCTACATAAATTGACAGGTAACAAATCATGGGTTTCAGAACTGTTCACATTCTTGTGAACTAACAGATTTAAAATTTTTTTTATTTCATGACAACAGTCATTACCTGAGGACCGGGGTAGCCTCCAGCAGGCCAACCCAAGGGCCATTTCACGTTTGTTTGCAGTAAGGTGTACTCTTGCTCTATGCCAAACCTGGTTAAGGTTGATTGCAGAAAACGATTGACAATCACCAGTTAAAATATTCAAGAAACAAACACAAGAACCAATCAAGAAACATATCTTAAAGTTTGAGCCTTTTCTGTTCAGTTTTCCATTTTTTATTGGTGTCAACATCTAGCATAGACATAATTGAAGGGGTACTAAGTAAAATTCAGCCTAGGAGAATTTACCATGGTACTTCTGCTATAACCTTCGGGTTGCTAAAGATCTGTGCAGCTCTGTAGCGCTTGTTTGTAGGAATGGGCTCACCAGCCGGTGTATAGGTGTCACATATGACCTGTTCAAGCCACGTATGAAACTGTTACATGAACACAATTTAATTATAACACGAATCAACAACTACTGAGCTAGTTCTCACTCACCAAAATGTTGTTTCCTCCACGGAATGGGTCCTTGAAAATTGCCTGAGGGCTAAAAGTGTATTCAGTCAAGCTCTATTATGGAAGGCAAAAGTAACTAGTGAGTACATAAGAAGGTTAGTTGCAATGGATTCTTACTATAAGATAACTTCACTATCTTCTCCAGGTGCTTGTCCAGTACTTGATCCGAGTGTGCATTTAGAAAAAGTCATACGCATTATTTCATTTACTTCCATTGTGTGATGGAAAGGTAGGGCATATCATTGCTAACCTCTAGATAAAGTTAAGCAACTGAGCATGCATTGAAACTCCTACAGCGGGGTTATTGTAATAGTGTTTGTGGTAGCTAGACCCAACTGTAAACAGTTATGGCAATAGTTAGTTAACAGTTATCATATTCTTTTAAATGGAAGGGTGTCAGCAACAGACGGTTGAAAACAAACTTGTTAACAAGGTATGCCTGGTCATGAAAATTTATGTAGTCATACCTGAGCCTGAACTTATGAGGCTAAAGTCAAATTTCCTGGCTTCCTGTATGTGCATCTGTGCTAATTTTAAGAGATGATAAATCCTGTTGCTAAATTGGTTTTACACCAATTCATTTTGACAGTCAAAATATTTCCATCGGCTCAGATCATTGTCCTATCTTTGTGGAAAATCTTATTTCTAGGTCAAACAATTATTGAGTGTACTGAACAAGCTGATGACCTTTGACTAGCATGCTGTTCATGATTTTTCTCCTTCTTCCCCTTTATATTTAGCTTATTTCTGTTGTTTTTAACTAAGAGGTTTCAGGTATTGTTAAGATGTGTATCCTGAATTATGATATATTCTTCATTAGTGGTCTGCAATCTATAAAACTAATGATGCTAGTTTATGCTAGCTGTGGTTACATATTTAATTTATTAGCCTTGAACCATTCTTTACTTCCCAACTCATACGTTTGCACTCGCTTCTTTAAGTGTGTTAGATGTAACTTTTGAAACCTAATGCATTCTTGGCTTCCTATTGGTAAAACAGGGCAAAGATTTGCTTTACGAGAAGGAGGTAGAACAGTTGGTGCTGGAGTGGTTTCAAAAGTACTTGGCTAAGATGCCAGTGATAATTCTCCAACTTTTACACAATGCTGGATATAAATTGAAGGTTTTTTCTCCTTGGATATAGCAGGAATTATTGATGGCGGCTGACCATTTATTAAGATTTTATGCAAGTTCTGGTAGGATTTGGTGTACCAGTAAATCAACTTTTTGAGTTTTTAGTGGTACCCTAGGAATTCTAAGCATGAATTAATGAAACAAATCGCAGAATGATGAGCTTGTAAAAAGTAGTATTTTCTTGTGCCTGGATATATGAAGTGTATATACTCTTTTTCTTACAGTCCTATCTCCATGTTCTTATTTCTGGTGAAAGTCATTTAAGCTTAAGGTCATAGCTTATTCTCTTCTTTAGCCAAATTCTGATTTTAAACTAGTAACTTGGAATATGCAATAGAGTCTTTGAGTGTTATATGTACCTCTGACAGGAGTTAATGTAATTGAGAGGATGGAGAATTTCAGAGAGAAACATGACTTGCTTTACTGTTATATAACATTTTGGATGCAGTTCGGTTAGCTCTAACAATGGTAGTTCTGTTTATGATGCTATTAAGCATTCATGGTAATTGAACATGCACATTCCTGTTTGTACATGGTGAAGGAAAGGGACATCAGGTCCAGCTCATCCACAATGATGCAAAGAATTGACTGTATCGTGTTTTCTTTATTTTCATAATTAGCAGTGCTTTTCTACTTTGCTACTCTTCCTCCTAGGCACGCATCATTTTAAGGTAAAATGATCTATGAATTGCATTACAATTTAAGGGACAGCACGTAAGATTAAATTTTTCTTGAAAGATCTGTGCTTGAAAAGTAGATCGAGAAATGGGGATAATGAATTTGCATAATTACATCCTTTATTATTTTAGAGGAAAAGAATATCTCTATTTTGTGAAATTTTTATGTATATAGTATATACAAGAAATTCAACATACAATGCTTGTTTTGCAAAATTCATCCTCCAGAAGGCAAATTTCAACCATCTACCAGCAGCTGCATTGCAATTTCAACTAATGAATGAATTGTTGTGCTATGTCGGCTCAGCCCTACTGTCCCAGAGAAAATATTGAAGCTCTCAATATCGGATATGGTGTCCATCATGTGTTCTAGCTGTTCTTCCATCCCTAAACTCTTGAAAGTTAGGATGTTTGTTTTCTTATCTTTCATCATCCAGATTGCCAACTCTAAAACAAACCTCCTCATCCTTGGAACCCTGATGGAAGGATACTGATATTGCTTCAGAGTCGCAACAAGTTTCTTAGCCACTTCAGCTTCTTGGATGCCCGCTCTCTGAAACATAATGCTTGATTCCCATGATGCCATAAACTTGAAAATACGTGCTGCTAATCCAATCATTACTTCCTGCAACTTGGTTTCTTTTGTCATGATTGCTTGAAGGACCTGCAAGGGGAAAATTGATAATTACTCAATGCTGTTTCCTTTCATGAATTATGACCACATAGACACAGCACGAAACAAGAAAAGGGATGAAGAAAAAGCTTTTGCAATGTAGTTATTACAACTTACCGTTGGTCCTGCATCAGTAAGGTGGTGCAGTTGATCAAAGCTATCTTCTCCGCTGGATGCACATAAATTTCGTAGAATTCTGCCGGCATTAATTCGAAGTAGTGGATCTTCTAACGCTTTAACAAGCTTTTCAGTGACATTTAATTTCAATATGCGCAAGCAATTACTTGTGCTTTCAAATGCCAGCATTGATAGTGCTGCTCCTGCTGCAATTTTTACATCTTTGTGCTTTTCATCTGTCACCTGCTTGAAGAAGATGTTGAACAGCTCCTTGAGGACCCCACCCGTGCCCCCAATTCTCTCTGTTGCGTCCTCTTCCATTGCCAGATTTCTTAGGATATCTATTCCTAACTTTTGCAGTGTTGGATGTTTCTCCCCATACCTCAATATGTCTCTGATATTGCTGATTGTGAAAACTATCTCTGAAATTTCTCTCCTGAGCTGTTTGCCCGTGGCACCAGTAGTGCAGGACAGTCTTTTTACTACCTGCAGAGATCGTTTTACTGTTAAAATCTGAGAGGGTGTGGTTGTCGCATCCGTCAGGAGCCTCTCTCCTGCGTGTGTGCAATCTATGATTTTTGGCAGGAGGCCTCTTGTATTCCCTATCTTCCCACAATTGTCATGGTCGCGAGCAAGCTGCTTCAAAATTGTGAGCCCCAAATGGTTGAATGTCCAGAAGCTATAATGTCCATCATCGAAGATGATGCTCTTTTCTGGTATTTCATCAGCTGCATCACCAAAGCTCCTGCTGATGTGGAGCAAGGATGATATTGATTCCATTGACCCTGGTATACCAGCTACCCTAAGAGAATTCTGCTTTTTACCAGCAAGGTGTGCCACAATTTCTGCAGCTGATTTTCTGATCTGTTCTTCTTCAGGGTCTTTCCAGTTCAACATTTCTACTACCCTTTCTGTTACAGATAAGTTTATACCAATCTTTTGGAGGGTGTCATCAGAAAACCGCTTGCTTTTTGAAAATGTTTCCAGAATTTGAGCCCCCATAAGCTGTTCATCAGGGGAGTTCGAGCCCAAGAGATCCATCGCAAACGAAACCATATCCATTTTCAGGCCATCAAAAATGCTTCCATAAACACATTTTGAATATGCATCATAGAAAAACCTTCTAATTGCGAGCATACCTGATGTCCCCATCTCACACTGCTTGTTCACCTCATCCAATATTTTGCGAAACGTTACATTCCACTCCCAATAGGCTTTCTCCAGGAGAAACAGCAGTGCTTCCGCCAAAGCTAATGAATAGAATATAATCAAAGCTGCCTTCCTGTTCCTCTTGTCTGAGTCATCTTTGGACACAGCGCCAAAGTTTCTCTTGATAAGCTTCATCAGGGAGAGCACTACACAGGTCGTAGCGGAGATGAGTTGGAGCCAATACAACAATTTACTGATATTTCTTGATATGAACACCCATGAAGTATACGGAATGAGAGGAACCTCTGAGCTATTCCACGTTCGAGTTGGCATCCTCTTCTGATGCCAGTTGTTTCGGTTTGCCTGATGGATGCTCTGTGTGATGATCTCCCTGCTCTGTCCCTTGCCTGGATTTCCAACAGCAGCAATAGGCCTAAAAATTGCCTTGGCAGTTTTGATGACAAAGTTTGAGCTTGATCTGATTGCGCGGAAGCTACTAGTTCCAACATCAGCAAGGGACCATGTGGCTTGGTGTTGCCATTCAAGCTCATGACTCCTGCTAAATATCCTTGTGCCCTCAATCAGCAGAATAATGGTTATGAACCAAAAATCTGTTTTGTCTAAAGTGATGGCAAAACCACCAAGAAGAACAACTGTAGCCCATATGAAACCAAGAGTTCCCAATCCAGTTGCTGCTTTTTCCAGCACAGCAAGCCTCAGAGCAAAAAGGGTCAGCTTCTTTTCTGGTGCACGGATTGCTTCTACCTGCCTTGCTGGAGTAACTGAACTGCCTGTGCTACTAGTGTTCTTTATCTCAATAGAGCTTTGAGGTTGTAAGATTGCTGTTGGACTTGGACCTGGACCTGAACTGCCTGCTTCAGATATCTGCAGATGGATGCTTCCTTCACTATCTATCGACGATGCAGGATTCATCGTTGACTTCTTCTGAGCATTAACAAAAGAATAGCCAGGCAGTTTAGTTTGGTTGTAGTTTGACTTGAAAATGGCACTGGGATCGTTAGGATAGGATGGAGTTTAAGGTGTAAAGTTCTTGGTTCTTGATCCTGATGGCTGTCGAAAAAAAGAGTTTTCCGACTGGAGTTTATATAACAACCAAAGGGAAATGAGCTTGGGCTTCAAGTTTTAAACAGTGGAAATTTGGAGGAAAAAGAAAGGCAAGTTGCTTTTCTTTCAGCCAAATCTCTTTTTTGTAGGTAGTTAGTAAGCAGTTTGCTTTTGTTTTTGGATTATCTAATCCTTCAGTCTTGACATAAGATTGTCTTTGCCAGGCAGCTCACCCTTACTTAAGACCTTGGTTTTGATGGGCTGTTTCGATTTATGAAGTTTCTTCGCTTGGTTGGATTGGTTGGTCATCCTTTAAAGAATTGTAAAAGTCTCCTTCATTCTAACTGAAAAAAGGGGCAATAAAGTTGTTCATCTTTGAGTTTTAGCAGCAGACCTTTAATATCCATTCCAATAACTGAACAGAACTTTCATAAGGTACTCATTTGCAAATTGAATGTGATTAAGTTGCTTATTGCACAAGTTGCTCAAATAGCAAAGGATTTTGTTACTCAACAGAAATTATTCTGAGAGTACATCTAACTTTACAAAAACCCTTCTCAGAGATCATAATTTCTTGATCAATTTCTACCAAAAAATTCAGCGACAGGGAAAAAAAAACTATTGCTTAAAGCCTTGTTCGACTTTGACGTGGGTTGTGTGACGTGCAAGTCTGCTGATCAAGCGTTAAAGCAGGGCAGAAAGGTTAAATTCAACCAAATTGCTTGTGCAGCTAGTTTTGCCATGTCATGTTTATTAATTGGAAGCATTTTGACCTTTCTCCTAAACATATCATTGTCAGGTACAGAAAAGCGCATTCCAATTCAATTCAATGCATTATCTCTGGTTTAGACTTTAGAGACTTGAATCCCTGAATTTTCTATTAGCGATTGTGATTCTTATCAATGTCACACGTCCACGCATACTGCTGATACAGAAATTATCTATCTAGGTTCATAATTGACAATTTCGTTCATTACATTATATTCTGACCAGACCGAACCAAACTCTCCACTTGATCAAGCTGGCGGCCCTATTCCATATAATCAAATGGTTGCATACCTCTTTACTACTAATCTTGCTATCCCGTGCTGATGATTATGTCTCGATTCAACTTCTAAGTTGAAGAAATTGAATGGTTCTTGATCAATTCTCCGGTTATGGGCTATGACTGCATTCATGGAAGTTGTCTAGATTGTGCGATATTGGCAATGTAGATGGCTGTGGCTTGTAGGGTTGGTTTATGGCGAGAGTCTCATGTTGAGTTAAGCAAAAAGGCCATGCTTCCCTTCCTTGTAAGATTGTGTATCTAACATGACAAAACAAACAAACATAGATTATGTGGTTCCATGACAGAACACAGACGTGGAAGCAGTCTTCTTCTTATACAACTAATGATACCTTAACCTCATGAAAGCTGTTTTTTCTGTTTTGTATATATATATATAGATATAGATATATAAAGAAACACTCAAAATGGGATTGTAGTGACACGTTAGAAAGGAATATTTATGATCTGTACATTACCACGGATTGGGTCCCCTATAAAAGATTCTTTAGTGACATATACTACTGTCTCTCCCATTCTTGAAATTGATAGAGAGTTTCAGAAGAACGTAATTGGATAGTCGACCCCTAATTAGCTTTGAACAGAAATGGTGTTTTGTACAGAAACCTTGGGTTCTATTTTGAGTCTTGACCGGTCCCCAATCTGTCTAGTAGTGTAATGCTTTGCCCAGTGGGATGTAACATGCAGCTGACAGCTTGTTTGTCTCTAGTCAAGGAGACTTGATAAAACATTCATGGCCATAGAAATAGAACAAAGACCCTACATCACGACAGTAGATAAAGTGTTAAAAACATTTACGAACCTATGAATGTGACTTCGACTGAAAAAGATCGATAATTAAGCTGCATTATTGAACAAACATAAGATTGCTTGCATCCGAAAGTCACGCTATATATGAAGACATTCTTAATAGAAATGATGATATGTTTGAGCCCAAAGCTGAAGTTTTTCCCGATAAGATACATAAAAGATTGATTGGCTACAATAAGCAAGTCTCTGGTTTTTCCCGTATAAACTCTTTGGTCCAATGTCTTCCAACACGTTCTTGATTTACTCTGAAGCAACAGCGAAACATCTGCACATCTTCTGCTTTTCACTCGCACGATTCAAACACTAACGCAAAATTATAACACAAAATTCCACAAGTTCTCAGAACAAGCTATACCCCTGCTTGTACAAAATACAATAGTGTATTTCTTGTATAACACCTCCAATTCAAAACCTAAACCTGAAGATTTTCTCAAACGACCTCAGGTCTTTCAGCAGTTATCTCAAAGATGAGCGTGGCGTAGCAACACCACTACCATGGTAAATGCCTCCAAGTCCTCATGACAAATAATAATGTGAAGTGTAGAGCTGGATAAAGATACATGTAACAAGAAGAAGTAATGGATAATAGAGAAGACGAGACATTTTCGCCACACCATCTGTTTCATTCGAAGGAGAAAGTATTTCAGTTGCAGGTTTAGCTTCAGCAATCCACAACATGTATCTACGCCAGTTTTCCATTCAGGAAATCTCAAGGCGGTCTTTTGCCAGTTTTCTTTTTCTTTCATTCTACTTCAAGAAACCAGCACTAGTTCTGAGAGGTGATCTGTGTTTTATCAAAGGGAGAGCATAATTTTCTTTCAAATGTCATAATCAGTAGTTCAGCATGAAAAAAGAAAAAAATTTTCACAGCACTTTATATTTATTATTATTTTTTTTTGAAAGATAAACGTCTTTGAATGTGTTAAGCAAATAACCAGCAACCATCCACCTTTCTCATGTTTCAGCTCTCATGGTGTGGCACAGGGGAAAAAATTACTGCAACTATGTATCCATGAAGTCACCAATCAACAACAGTTAGAATATACATTAAACAGTTGTATATACATTAAACAGTAATCCGACACCACCACTCAGCAGATACCATTTGCCGCCTACAAGAACATACAACTGTAAGAAAGCATGGGAAGTATTGATCTTCAAATACATGGTTGATGAATGATTACTCTCTAATTCATATGACGAGAAAGGGAAAAAGTGAAAGAACAACTTGATTCACAAACACTTCAATTCATCAATGTTTCAACCTTAAGGTTCAGAAACTTAGCAATTTTTCCTGGATCAAAGTCTCAAAATGTATGCTAGAAAACATAAATGACGACAAAAAATACTAAAAATTTTCCCCTTGTCATATGATTCTCCAATTCTTATGATGACAAAGAGAAAAAGTGAAAGAACAACTCAATTCATGAAGTTTTAAGGTTCACAAACTTTAAATTTTTCCCTGGATCAAAGTCTCAAAACATATGCCAATATGTAAATGACCACTCAAAATACGTATGAGAAAAAAATGAGAGAATCCTGCTCAAAGTATTAGTTTGAGCAATATAAGTTAATACACAGCTTTGCTCTAGAGGTACAAGTAAAATAAACAAGTAAGACGGCCTTAGCGAAACAAAACCTTAGCATTATTCATAGTGATATAAATCAGTAAAACAACATTGAAACAAGTTTGCCACTGCTACGGTTTACTGAAAATGAGCTACTTGAGTCTTTAAAGATTGATTGCATGACTACTTCTGGAGTGCTAGCTGCTACAAACTCTCCAATTAAAGAACCAATTACTCAAAAAGAATAATCAGCAAGGACATAACTGTCAGAAAGAGGAAAAAGAAGGTTAAACATTATCAACATATCAATGACAACCAGATGCTTGCACTGCCTTTAGTTCACTTCCTATAATTATGAATAGAAAGAAATTAAACCCTCGATAACTCAAGATTAACTAGCTGACTTGGGCATATTTCCACTATTTTCCCAATTTTCATTTTGGCTAAGCAGGCTTTCAGGAGGAATTATCCATATGCAGTTACTTCTGATCATTGCTTTTGCATTCTCTCTCATAAAATATATGCAATGCCTCAGCTCATCTACAAGATCAATGCCAAAAACCAACACACTGAAATTTGTGAAAACGAATATTTGTGTAAAACCCATATCTTAAAAATTTTAAAAAAAAAAGAAAAAAAAGAAAGACAGTAATGACTCCAAAATAGCATCAGTTACTTACTCGACCTAAGCAAGCCAGTATTTCTATTGAAGAAGACTTTTGCAGAAGGTATTGAGATTGGGCTATGAATAAAACTGAATCCTAAGCACTCCACAAACTGAAAAAAAAATCTAAACTCACGCAGTTTTATTGAATGAACACCAAACCACTGAGAGTACCAAGTATTCAAGCTGAAAGATGGTGACAAGAATTCACTAACAGGGGACCTAACATTGCATTAACTTGAAATAAGTAGAAGTGCCTCAACTGTAGCTACAAAAATTGTTTCACTGTAGAAAAGAGACAATACCATAAACATAACATTCTAGCTTTGACAACCAATGAATCAAATTTTCATAATTTACCTAATCGATTGAGAAGACCATTCCAGCACTAAATGACTATATTCCTTTGATTCACTTTAGCCTTCTCTGCATCAATAATTGACTCAACCAACTTAACCGTTCCATCCAATTCCCCTTCCTTATTCACCACCACATAATCAAAATTGCTCAAATGCTTGATTTCCTCCTTGGCCGTGGCAATTCTAACAAGCAAGGTCTCCTTAGTCTCAGTCTTCCTATCAATCAACCTTTTCACCAATGCCTCCTCACTCTCAGCAACCAAGAAGATGAACACAGCAGACTTCCCCAAAATATTTCTCAACGTTGCGGCCCCTTGTATATCGACTCTCAATACAATATCACTCCCTTTAGCCATATGTTCCCTAATCTGCTGTTTTGGGATACCCTTATAATCACCATACACCAACGCATATTCCAATAGCTCGTCTTGCGCAATCATTTTCAAGAACTCCTCTTTACTCACAAAAAAATAATCTTTGCCATCAATTTCACCAGGCCTCATTGCCCGGCTCGTTGCAGTAACAACAAAATGTATACTTTCCCTAACTTCCCTCAACCTTTTGATAACTGCATCTTTACCAACCCCACTTGGTCCACTGATCACAATCACCAAAGGATTAGGATTAGGCACCAGCGGCTCAGAGCTGAATGGGGATCCTAATGAGGCCTCCAAAGCCCGATACAGCTCAGCCCGGTCTGCAGTTTCTGGGCATGGTATGGGGACTACCGCAGGTCTTCTAGCATCACCCATTGGTGAATTTGCAGAAAAGAAGCACCGGGCCGGTAAAACTGGCCTGTGGGAGGTGAATTGTAGAGTTTTTGGGGAGGTGAGGAATGCTGGGCTCGAGGGGAATTCAGCAAAAGGGTTGATGAATTTTCGACTGAGGAAAAATGGGTTGTTGTTGAATTTGGCTAAAGATGTGCACAGCCTTCTTACCAGCATCGATTTGAGTTTGGTTTGAGTTTATAGAGAAACACTGTGTACTTGTGTGTGAGAATTGAGGTATTAGATGAGGAAATATCGGAACAAAGAATAGGTATTGTTGGGTACGGGGAACAACTGTAACAGATTTTTGCCGCCAATTTGAGAGAATTTGTTGACAGTCTAGACGTTAATGGGATCCTAGATTTAGGGTTTGTCTCCTCTACACACTTTTTTTTAGTTTTTTTTTTGGGGGGGCGCGGGGGTGGCGGCGCTTGGCCTCTTTTGTCCATTTTGCTCTTTTTTTCCTCTATTAAAATGGAAACTAACAAATGAATTCTGCTCGTAAATTTACTTTTGTGTCGGATTATTCTTTTTGGCTGTTCTTTTTGTTCTAATCATTTATGGCTTTTTCAATTTTTGAAGTTAAAGAATCTAGTTAATTTACGGTTAGATTGTCCACCAAGTGCACGACCTTACAGATCGAACTGCCATCACTGAGCAGTAGATTCTGATTGTATGCAGCCTATCCATTGATTCAACAGTAAGTAACACAGAGATGCAGAAGTAAAAGTTCTTGCTACTCTACTTTTGGCTTGTATACCAAATGGGGTTGGCCAAACAGACTTATTTCTTAGTACAGAATGGTTCATTGACACAAAACCAGTAGTCCTGATGTAACAGATCATGTAAGGAGTTTACAACTGATATCACTAAGGAAAAAGAACAGAACAATTAGTGAAAGGAGATTGCTCTCGTTCGAACATCCACATGCCCTCTTCATCAGAATAGCAGTTGTAGAAACGAGTAAATGCCTGCCTCTTTACACCCAAAATCAGTGCTGTTAAAAGAAAGTAGTCTTTACCACATATGGACGATGTAAGAGTTACACACTCTCAACTTCTCAAGAGCGCTTCTAGTTCTGTCAAATCACCCTGTCCCAATTATACAACAAACCACAAATCATATAGAGCAGTCATGGTATATCAAGATGGATCATCCATCAAAGCGCTTGCTTAATCTGGGAAGTAACAGTCTGCCAAAGTTCATGTGAAGATCAATACCACTGACTTCCAGATCCAACTTGAGCAGCAGCTACTTTCCTCGCCATATACTGCTCAGGTTTAGGCTGCAACGGGTTAGGTCCTTCAATACTTTCTTCTTTATCACTTTTATAGGATGGATGCCTCTTAGGATATGAAGAGGCAGAAACACCATATTGATTTGGAACAGCAGAATTCCTAGCCATTCTTCGCTGTTCAATAGCCTCTGCAGCTGCTGCTGCAGCCCCACAATTGTTGTAACGCAACACTGAACCAACAACTTTCCCAGGTCTAGCAGCACCTGCTGTGAAAACCACAAAGATTCAGGCTGGCATACAAGAATCTTAATGTGCTGATACCTTGAGAATCGACATGCATGAATGTTAGAAACATAGACACTGTGTATATGTTTAAAATCCTAAAACAGAGCACCATATAGGTAAATGCGTTCTAATTAATCTCTCTGCTCGAAAGAAAAGGCACTTTTGTTCTTCAGGAAAAAGTTTGACCAACACAGATAACCTTTTTTTTTTTTTGTTGGTGGTAGATATCTTGGTTCTTGTATGTCTTCATGCAGGACCCATGGTGAATTCAAAAAGTGGCTAACAAATGTAAAACCCTGAAACAAATGCTAAACACCTCACCTCTTCCCACCTTTAAGCAAAAGTATGAGCCTAGTTACAATTCTCCAAGTGAAATGAAAAAGGGGAAATGAGTTAATTGCTTTCGTAAATGGGGGAACTGCAACATGTTTGAAGCATATCAACATAGCGCTTCGTCAAAGAAATTTCACTAATAATATGGGAAAGCATTTTGAAAGTCTGTTTGTCCTCATAAGGCATGGACAAACCTTGAATGCTTGGAGGCACTTGCAAAGGAAGTCTTGACATAGGGATCCCAGAAATTCTGTCCGTATTTGACTTCTCAACTTCTTTTATGCAGAATTTCGAGAGATCATTTGCAACTTCTGCTACATTCTGTGTTGAGTTATCCGAGTACAAAACACAGGGCCTGCAACCAAAGCAAGTTTTAGTTCCCCATAGAAGCAGAAAAAATAAATCTGGTAACTCAAAGAAAAGCTTGAAAGCCGAGTAAAAGGATCACAAGAAATATGCCAGAAGCTACCTTGGTAAGGATGAAGCTTGCTGCCTTTCAGGAGGAGCAGCAGCTCCACCATTCCCATAGCGCTCCTCAAGATAAGCAAATTGCTTCTTGAATTTATCAACAGCACTGGAACAAAATGATAGAAAAATCCATCAATCTAATAAATATAGGTAAGAAAATGTCCCTGGGATGGTTTAGGACTATTTCATAGGAAAAAAAAATTGTAAACAAGAGAATAACCCTTTGAGTCTCAAGTTGAGTCACACAGATATCCTATGGGACACTTGCGTTCTCCCATTAAACAATGACATGGACCATAGATAAACTTCAAAAGAATAGATACATGAATGAGTATGAGACACAAATTCAAACTTTCGTACTAGGAAAAAGTGAAATACATTGGATCCATAAATAGCAATACAGCAAGCATGAGAGTCATAAATAATATTGCTTTTCTCATCCGACCAACCTTTTTGGGCCACTTAAACCAAAACATTGAATGCAAACCAATGAAAGTACTACTCAATGTGCCAAATGCACCAGACTAAACATCTTCATGATCTGAACTAGCATAAATTCATGCCGGAGCAGTCAAACAGCATACGTGCAGTCATCTAATTTTGAAACAGACAAGCAGTACTCACTTAAAAAGACAAATTTGAAACACAAATAAAGAATAACAGGTTCAGAATGGTGCGATCATTATAAGCAAATATTTCCATTTTTTACATATTCCTGCATAGAATAAAATGTATTTTCAAGCACTGAACTTAAAATACTTATGTTGAAACATGCATAGCTCTCAGGTTTATTGAACAAAGAGAAGAACTAAAAGGGAGGTCAGGAAGCAGTAAAATGAAGTGTGCAAGAATGTTGCAAGATGTTTCAAATATCCTCTTAAATGCAAACAAACAGGTATTCAACAGCAAAACCGTACAAGAGATTTAGTTTTGAATATAGTACCTCGGATACATGAAGTTTGTTGGTTCTGTTCCCTCTAAATACTCTTTCAACATCTTCGGATGATATTCAAGAATCTCCCGGTAAATTAATTCTCTTACATCTTCTTTTGTTATTCTACGTCTTTCAAATTCAAATTCCATTTTTGAGACAGGCTGAGCTGAAGGTTCTCTCTCAACTTTGGCCAAGTTCCTGAAATATGGATCTGCAAGAGCCTGATGGCTTGCATGCAATATGCACTTTAAGAAGCTGGAGACATATTGACTTGCCAAGACTTGAAACAACACACTAACAGATAAGGTGTACCTCTTCTGCATTAGGCCGATCTTTGGGATCAAAAGCAAGCATCCTTTCCAACAAACGAAGAGCAAGGGGGTCTGCATTTGGGAACTTATGGGAGAAAGGAACTGGTTTTTTCTTTCTCATGCTACTTAAGTATCTCCTGGCCTTTTCATTTCTTATCTGTGAGCAGAAGGTAAATAAAATATAAAGATTAAAAAAATTAACAGTACAATTTTGCGTATACAAGAAAAAAATCACAGCAAACAGACCCTAGCAATGGCTTCAGAAGATGGTGTTCCGAGTAGATCAGTCATCAGGTCCAATTGATGAACTACATTTTTTCCTGGAAATAAAGGTTTTCCAGTCAAAAGTTCTGCAAATATGCAACCGATGCTCCATATATCAATAGCCGGCGTGTACTGGTAAAAGGTTGATGATAAACGTTTGTTAGAACATGTGTATGGGTACAGAGTTCCAGAGGTACTTAACATTGACTCAGATCAAGCAATATGAAGTTTAAAATTCAGAAATTTGCACCTTGGAGAAGAAGGATCCACACAATTCAGGAGCTCTATACCATCTCGTTGCAACATAATCCTAAAAGCACCAAAAAAATATAAAAATAAAAACAAAATAAAAATAAAAATAAAAATAGAAAAAAAAAGATAAAAAAGATACAAATTCTAAATGCCTAATGCAGTTCTTATAAAGCACTAGTCCAGTGGGCAAAGATATCACCAAAAGGAATAAGCAAGAACTTACTGTCCAGAATATCGCAGTAGGAGTATCATTGAATGCCACTCTGGCTAGACCAAAGTCACATATCTTGAGCTTACAGTCAGCATTAGCTAAGATGTTCTTAGGTTTCAAATCACGATGGAAGACATTAGCTGCATCAAAGAACTATGATTATCAGATCTGGAAATGGTCCTGTAGCCTTACCATGTACGTAACTTAGCTAAGTGAAAAGCCTAGCTTCTTTAATACTGTAAATTTGTGGTTTTGTCCAAAAACCCAAAGATAGACATTAAAGTTGCTTTGCTAAACCAAATATTACCTGTGTGTATATACTTCAAGCCCCGAAGAAGTTGGTATAGGAAGAATTGGTAATGTTCTGGCGTCAGATCATCATTTGCCTTGATGACCTGATGTAGATCAGATTCCATAAGTTCAAATACCACATATATGTCTTTGAATTCCCTTCTAGATGGAGGTAGCAAGATATGTTTAATTTCAACAATATCCGGATGACGAAGAAGCCTAAGAAGCTTTATCTCACGAAGGATACGTGTGGCATCGGAGACATGCTCAAAGATGTCATTTATCTTTTTTATTGCAACTTTTTCTCCAAGATGTGTATCATAAGCAGAGCATACAACACCATAACTACCCTTACCAATCACTTCCTCTATCTTGTATCTGCTACCCTCACCATATTCTGTAAAGAAATCTACATCTATAGATGCCTGCATCATGAAAATTTAACATACCGTGTCATTGACATCATATGATACAACTGAACAGTATACGTCGAAAAGAAAAATTAGCATCTATCAAATTCCAAATTCAAATTTAAAATAATTGTTAACTAAAATCCCTAAAACTTGCAGCTTAGAAGTCCTATACAGAAGAAGCAAAACATCCACCATCATTATCAAGCCAAAATTATATAGTACTTAAAGAAACAGGTATTTTACAAGTTAAAAGGTTCAGATAGTTCGAAATACTAGTTGACTACCAAAGCACTTTTAGAAGTATTGAAAACTTAAAAAAAGCAAAGCCCTTTCGAATCCCCCTAGCCCTCCCTCCGCCACCATCCACCATGGGCCTTAATTATTTCTCAAATAGTGTTCCTCGTGAGGAGTCATTTTACC